GCCAGGCAGTGCTTCCTGCTCCCCAACACCATCCGCCAAGAATCCACATCCACATCACCATCCACATCTCGTCCTCATCCTCCCAACCCAAGTCGCACATTTTCCGCCCGCTTTTCCTGCTGGTGCGTTCATTGTGAGCGCCGAGTGGAAAATGTGGAATGCTGCTATGCATTTCTTAAACCAAATCAGCGGCCATGACAAAGCAGCCCGTGAGTTGGAGTCTGTGGGTGTGCATGTTCGGCCCTGCTGTTTGTCTTTGCTTTGTGCTGGCATTCGAAATAGGCGAAAAGAAAACAGCACCCCTTAGTCAGCACCCCCAAGCAACCAGCAAGGAGCAAGCAGCAACCAGCTGATGACGTTGAAGCCGCTCTTGACTTCGACCCGGTGAAAAAGTTTTTCCACTATGCACGCAATTTCCTCGAGAGGAACCATAGTTTGTTGCTCCGTTGCTGGTTTTTCTTTCAGCTTTGATGCACAGAGACAAAAGCATAATGACTACATTTTTCTATTGCCCTTTGAATATTTCACTCCATTCTTTGTTCATGAATATTCGTTATTTGGTACTTTTTATTTCATAAATATTTATACACCTATCGTAGGGTTTTTCTTAAGTCAGAAGAGGGTTACACCCTTTTTCCTTGTGACAGAAATTATGCTATGAAATAGGGATAGAAATAATAGAAAATCTTAATTGTATGTTTATTGATATTTACATTTTGAAGATTGCATTTCTTGTTTTAAAATTGTAATAATAACATTATACAATCGCTGTCTTAAGTTAATTTTTTTTTTTAATTTTCGGAAATTAACTTTAAGGCACAAGCTTAATACTTATTTAATAAATAAAAACTTTGTTAAAAAATATTAAAATACATATACTTTGATTGCTTACAAAATAACGCCTAATTAGGTTATCATTATTCTCAGCGTTTTTATTTTGTTTTTATTGCTGTTGTGTTGTTGTTCTGTTGCGGGTTGCTGGTTGTTGTACCGCCCAAAGGAAGCGGTCGCGTTGTCATTTTTGGGACTGCGCGTGGATGCTTTGCTGTTGTTTCATTACTTTGGTGCACAAAACAAATGCGCATAGTTGCCGTCAGTTATTATCCACTTGCAGCGGCACTTTGTGGCAGCCACCATGTCACCATTTTTGCATGGAAAACGAAGGGAATCATGGCAACAATGCGCCCCCTTGGCCAGAACGCGTTTTCTTTTGACTTTGGCTTTGCGAGCTGGCTTAATCAACACGACGACGTTACTGCGAGCCACAAAAGGCATTCCGATTGCCCAGGCTCATGCTCAGGCTGAGGCTCAGTTCCAGGATCCAGCCAAGGGACCTAGCCATGGACAGGCCACGCCCCCTACCGCTCACCGCCCAACCGCTACTCCCGCGCCCCCAACTCGGCCGCAAGTATTTCTGGGACCAAATTATTTCCATAGCTTTAGCTTAAAAGCTGAAAATGCCGCTGCCCCTCTGGCGCTGGCAAAGAATTAAAAATATTTACAGTATTTCCAAGTGAGCGGTACAAAACAACAAACAGTATGTTTAAACCAACAAAAAAAAAAAAAAAACAAGAAAAAAAAAGGAACGCAGGAAACTTGGACGAGCATGGGACAAAGGAAATGTCATACATACCCTGTGTGTGTGTGGGATCGTGTGTGTGCCTTTGCTTACCACAAGGGACGAAAAAATGCAAAGCATTCCAAACAAATATGATGAACCATAATTCCGCTTGCGACAGAGATATCTAGCTGGCTGGCAAGACGAGAACTTTTGTCATTTTGATTTCCCCCAATTTGCACAGAAACCACAAGCAAATATCGACAGCTCCACAAAGGCTTATGCCATGGCCAGGGATTAGGACCGCTCGAACTTTTCATGATTAATGATGCCTTGCAAAGTTCGCTTTTGCCTCTTTTCCTATTTGCCCTTACCACTTTTCCCTTTTTCCCATTTCCCATCTCGGTGTGCGTTTGTTTCAGTCAACTGCCGGCCGTCGGCAGTCATCACATCATTTCAAAGCGATTTCCTTAATGATTGCCCATGGTTCCCAGCTGCATAACTGATTTAATCAGACTCAAGCTGCATTCAAAAGTATTTTAACAGCATTTAGAGCAATGCGCTTTTTAATAGACCAAAACCCGAAAAACCTCTTGACTCCTCGGGCCCGACTTAATTGCTTGCCGGGCCAAAAGTGAAAAGCAATACAGCGACCACCGGACTGATTTTGGCAGGCGGTCCTGTCTGCGCTCCGAAATTAAATTGGCCATGTTTAAACAGCAAATTTGGACAAAATTAGGCGGGGCTGTAGTAGTTAGTTAGTAGGGCCGGTGCGGGGTTGCACACAAAGGCAGCGGCCTACCTACCAGAAATTTATGCAGTATTCAGTTTGCCAGTCAAATGAGGCAAAGCCACAGCGGCAGCTATTTGCGGTGTGCCCATGGCCACATAATACCCTGTAATAACCACTAGCTAAAAGTGGAACCCACAAAGTATCTGCCCAACCAAACCGAAAACCCCGAGTATGCGGACGAAAACCATCCCAGTCCATCAGTCTGAATCCGTAATGAGATGAGTGCACCACGAACAACTTACGCAAATATTTGGCAATTATGTAGCTTCGGTTTCGTTTCGTTTCGGCTGAAGTCCTTGGTACAGAACACTGGACTTCGACCCTCTCCACAAAACATCCACACCGGCATTATTATAATGACTGAACATTGCAGCAAATTAGTCAAAACAAAAAAGTTGTTGGTGCGAATGAAAGTGCGGAAAAAAACAGAAAATTAAACTTTTGTAATATGAATATGATGATACGCTTTATTTAAAATATAAGGAATTTTAAGGTCTGGGCAGAGAAATATTCGGACTATAGAGTTTAAATATGTATATAAAAGTGTAAATAGTACAAATGTTAAGAACAACATTGTTAAACGAAAAATTTGTATGTGCCTTTAAATTTAGTATAATATATATATATTTTTTTGTTAAAATTATTTTAAAACTCTGTATTTATAAATCTAATAATACAAAGATGTAAATGAAAATTGGTAAAAATAGCTATCACTGCTTTCGGCTCTCAATGAGGACCCCATCATAGGATATCAGCCATGATTTTTGGCTGTCACATCCTGGTCCTGCCATCCCGGACTGCTTCATGATAAGAGGACTCCTGGGGCGGGGGGCGGAGGCGGGGGCGTGGTCACGAAAAGTTTAGTGGGCATCGGGCGTGTTAAAAGACAAACACCAAAACTGCTCGCTGCGGGTCTCTTTTGTGTGTGTCCCTGTCTCTGTTTGTCCAAATGCGAGTGTCTTTTAAATACTCATTACGGAATTAATTTTGGGAAAAGTTGTGATAAAAATCCTATTATAAACATAAATAAATAGGCTGTTTCGAGGAGGCGAAGCGCAAGCGGGGGTCAAAGGACAAAGCAGTGACTAAGCAAACATTTGTGAGTTGGCAAACTGGAAAAGAGGGCGTTACCGGGGGTCCTTGGAAGTAAAAGGTAGTGAGTGGCAAAGTCAAAGTCAAACAATGATGCAGCCAGCTGTAAAGGACGAGAACTGAGACTTCATTAGTGCTCATCCACAATGTATGCTGGTTTCGTCTTGGTCTTGGAATTTCGCTTGTTCGGTCCTTCGCTCCTTTATATAGCCACTCATATCCTTTTCTTCCTACACAGTCTTGAAATGGGTATATATATGGCATTATGGTTCCGTCACTCACTTGCGGCTTATTCTGTGGCCCAGTCCGCGACTATAGGCATATTCAATATTCATATTTCGCCGCGGCACGGGCATTTATTACCCTAAAACCCTCACACAAGTACACTAAGAAAAGTTTATGAAAAAAAATATATATAAAACAGAGAAGTATTTTCAACTTATGTACATATAACATAAACTAATTTAATAGTAAACAATTAAAAATAAATTTGCATATTTTATGATCAAGTTTACTATTTTATAACATACAAAAAATTCCCCCTTTAAAACCTACAGTATCAACCCAAAGGATATATAATACGCAAATTTCCCCAAATATCAAATATAACAGACATAAAAATATTAGTCTCTAAACACTTATTTTTTTTGCTGTCTACACTCATTGATTTGGCTACGCCTGACAGGTGAAAAGAGGGCGGTGCCCACCGCACTTTGCTAAACTAGAAAGTCTTGTTTCTGTTTGGCCAACGTTTGGCAAAATTTAATCTCAAACTGAAACCGAAGACATTTTGCCAGTCAACGCTCGAAAATGCTGAGCGAAATTGCTTTGCCCGGCCATGCCCCCAAGGTGATTTGCATAGCAGAGGTGAGGGCGAGGGGCGAGGGGCAAGTGGATGGGTGGGCCGATGGTGTGTTATACGAAATGGGTACTGTCAGTCAAAGAATGGTAGCATATGTAGCGGTGTGTTGGAGTGCCGAATTGTTGGCGGCATACGCTCAAATTAAAACACCGAACAAAAATAGAAAATTTAGCATGAATAATAAATAGTTTACTCTGCCTAGACAAACTTTATCAAAATGTAATCATGTCAAAGTTAATTGATTTTAGTGCTATATTGAGCCCTCACACTGTGAGTGAATAGTGGCAAAATAAATAAACAATGAAATCTTGATGAAATAAGTTCTAAGCCAACATAAAACATAAAAACTACTTGAGCTTGTGTTTATATTTAAACAGTTTTCCTTAAAAGCTTAATTTGTAAAAATAATGTGCTGCGATAAAATATTAATAATTAATGTGATTTTAAAATGGATGATATTCCCAATTTATTGAATTTGTTATTTCCCACGAGTTATTTAATATTTGTTTAATATATCTACGATCATTCGTGTCACTCGCAATTAAGACATTGAAAATCAGATAAGAGCGTCCACAAATAATATACAATTTAATTACCTAACTACAAAACGATTTCACAAATAATTTCCAAGCGATAGCGTTAATTACAAGAGATAATAATCTTTCGGAGCCAGTAAAAGGGTTTCAGTTGCTATATAAGGCCAAAGGTGATGACAATTTTTCAGTTTCAAATTCAACATGAAGCAGTTCGCATTGTTCAGCATTTTCCTTCTGATTCTGGTTGTGGGATTGGTAAGAGTTGAAGTGTTTTAAATCAGTATCGTGGCCTAAACAGCGGTTTTCCAGGCCCAGATGCCCCAGCAGGTTGCTGCCCAGGGGCAAAATGGACCGCCTTTGGGAATGCCGCCAAGGCCGCCAAGTGGCAACGGAAATGGCAACCAGCAGGGTGGACAAGGACTAAACGGTCAAAACAACTAGAACTAGAATGGTTTTAGGGTGGACACACCTCCTGGGCCATTTCCCAGTTCTTTAAATAAACACTTTCTTTTGCAAACTAAAAACTTCGTTTCTTGAACCTCTTAAGCGTTTTACAGACAAGCATAATAATTGTGAGAAGAGAAAAAAAACATTTAAATGTAAATTTCTAACTTAAAAACAAAAAATGTGTATTCCAATACAGAATACATTGCCTTTAAAATTCCCTCATCAATCAAAAATATTTGAGCTCACACTTACAGGCCCGCGGTTAAGTTTATGTGACTTAAAAACGTGGTATGTTTTACATAAGCTCTTGGGGCTTTATTGTTTTAAAATTGTTATAACATTTTTATATTCATCTCTACCCCGGCTTTGTGTATTTCCACTCTGTCTGGGCCAAGCCGAGTTGGCAAACTTTATTAATAAAGTGCACAAATTATGAGCATGAAACTCTTGCCACGCGAACATGGCCGTAGGTCCGTTTCATCTGATGAGGAAGGGGTTAGGAGGCGAAAAAAGGGATGCTGGAGACCAGCAAAGCGGCAACTTCTTACAGCGACTTGTGTTCTACATTTTGTGAAAATGCAAATGCTTATTACTCGTACCAAAGGAGCTGTGCCGCCAGGCACTGCATAATTGCATTATGGCGGCCAGAGTCTGGATGCAGCTAACCTTCTGTTCAAAGTCTCCGTAGTCCTTTTACCACGTTCCATCGCCGGAAAACACCTTCTAAGTCGGCTCTACTTTTGCAAATATAACGCAGCCATGTGTGAATGCACCTCGGAGAATAACCGAAAAAGTTATGCTATCGCTATCAGTCAAGATTATAGTCATTTGTAGAAGGGGAGTTGGTTGCTCAGGAAGAAAGGCACACTGAAATTCGCCATACTTCATGGTTTATTTTAAATAAAGGTACATGGTTTTGGGACTCATCAACATAACAATGCCCAGTCTCTAAAATATAAATATTCATATCCTTAATTTATAAACTTATTGTCAAGCAACCCACTAAATGTATAGAGCATATTACATTACAAATCGCATTGTCCAGGAATTTAAAAAAAAAACTATACTGTTTTTTGAGTAAGCCAAGTCATCATCAGTTTAGAGGTTTAGAGTAGTAACCTTAAAGGAATCTTTATATTCAAGCTACAATAACAATAATTTTTTCCGATTTTATTTTAAAACAGACTACTGGACTATTATATATTTATTTTCCAATTGGATTGAACCGAGTTTTATCTGTTTTTCAATATGTAATACTTTGTTTCATTTTTTTGGAATAAGAAAAAAGGTTTATTTGTAATAAACTATTATCATATATCGGTATTTGTTCGTCCCAATTGCAAGCCATTTAAGGGCAAGATGAAGTTTACAGATTGATTTCTATTTAATAATAATTTCAAACATGTAAACTCTTCTTTCATCGGTCTGCAATTACCAAATGCAAATGAAAATTCAAAATTCTGATAAGCAAAGCAAGGCGCTTTCCCTTTGTTCGATGGCAAAGTAATATGAACTGTACATATCTCGTCATATATAATTTCCGCTGCGAAGGATATCCAGTGTTCGGGAACGAGGACGCACCTCATCATCGTCATCGGGATGGAAGCTTGCCTGCTGTATGGCGTATGGCGTATGGTGTAACAGTGTATCAGTATCAGTATATCAGTATATCAGTAGCGAACCCCAGAGAGACCTACTCATTGGGCGTAGGCGAGGAAAACAAATGCAGCTTTCACTCCAAGCTCTGTCTCAATGCCAGCGAAAGCAACACGTGACGACACAGGACGAGTGAGTTGCACTCGAATTTTGAGATTTTTGAGGGCCAACAGGAGCCAAGGAGCCAAGGATGTGTCCAACATGTTGCTTCGCGAGCACAGGACACGAACGCGAACGCGAGCACGAACACGAGTCACGAAGCGCGTATGCGAATCATGCGTGCCGAGGACGAAAGGACGAAACCTTCCGAGCCGAACTGATTGCTGGCCGAGCGCTTTTAGCCACGAGCTGATAAAGCCGCAGCTTCTCTGCTGGTCTACAGGCTAGCCACTCGGTCAGTTGAACATTTTCCATGCTGTGATCAAGTTGTCTTTTCCTCTGAGCGCCGAGCGCTGTGCACGCCTTGGACTTGGAACGTTTCGAAATCGGGCTAAAGAAATATTCAAAAAATATTCAACACAATATTCAAAAATCAAAATAGAAACAAAATCAAAAAAATAAATAAATAAAAGTAGAAAGTATATAGAAACCACAACTTAAGCTTCCAGTTTAGTGTATAACTTCGAGCAGCAAGTGCGTGAATGGGAGTGGGAGCCAAGTGCAAGTGGTTAGCGGAATTGTCGTGGCGAAATAGGCGTGGCAGTTCGGTGGGTGCGGCCGTCCTCAGTATGCACTTGTTGTTCCTGTTCTCCCCAGTTGCAGCATGAGCAACACTCATTGCAATCGGCCCCTTGCCAAACTGCTAGCTGCAACAACTTCACACGATAATTGCTGTACAATTACTTGCCTTCGGCTGACTGGCAGAATATTTGTGGCGCAAATATCCAGTTTCGAACTAAAGTGCTCATATGGTTATATTACATTACAGCAAACAAACAAAATATACAAGACATGAAAAAATGTTGAAACGACGGACTGACTTACATGCATTTTATTAGTAAATAACAAATACAAAAAAAACCGATTATCAATACAATTGAAAACACCAACGGAAAAAGAAAACCAGCCGCAAACATTTTTGTAAAACAAATTATTAAAAAAAGGTTTCGCCAGCAAAGAAAAGCAAACAAGCGCGAGGAAATTGAATGCTGAAATTCGCCCATAAAATGCATTAAATAAATAAACTATGGTCAAAAGAATTTAATTAAAAAAAAAGGAAGGCAAATCAAATGAGGCAAAATAATTAAAACAGTAAGCAAACACAAAAAAAAAAACTGAAAGCAAAACAACAGCATTATCCGACCGCAAAAATTAAAAATATTCCGTAAATCGAGGAGACGGCTAAGAAAGAGAAAGGCCGTTGCGCAAAGAAAGAGACGGGCACACAGTACACAGTACACAGAAAAATGAAGTCAACGAAGGCAAACCCCAAGCCCGGAGTGGATCCCAAAATTGTAATGTACACAAGAGAAAAAGAACGATTTGCAAAATAATTGAATTCACATTACACACTTTCAAATCCACTGCCAATAAGAAACACACACACAAAAAGAAATCACAAACTCATGCGACATTGCAACAAGAAAATCGCAGACTCATTCGCATTCCTCATCTGAGCAAAATAATCATTATAGAAGAAAAGTCATTTTTCAAATATTTTTCGCCCATTGCTCTGCGTTTTTCTTGTCGCGTGTTGCTTCTAAACAATTTCACATTGTCTGACTTTTTGCACAAACAATGGCATTTGTAATTTCCATATCATCAGCTTTCACTCTGCAATCTTGCCTAAACTCTCCGCCTTTATGTAGTATAATCACAAAGCCATTTTTATCCGTGTATCACTTAAGTCCGCCAGGATTCACAGAATTGAGTCGAGTCAAGACCCCATATCGAAATTCGCTTTTAATCACGAATATGTGTTTACAAATGGGTGTTCCCACCCATAAAGTAATATATTTTAAGCCTATTGATTTATTCTCATTTGATTGTGAATCGAAAATGTTTTTTGGCATCGGTAATATTTAATTGCTGTAATTTAGACGCGTCCTGGCCCCTTGGCTCATGTCTAATGAATTATAATTTAATTATGCATAAAGTAATTGCATTTTGGGTGGCCTCTACCGCAGCATCAATTATTTTAAATATGATTGGGCCTGGGAAGTAATGATAATTATGTGGTGATTATTTATTGGCATATCAGTCAGAAGATGAAAATATTTTTGGTTTTTTAATTACCATTTACTCGGACTCTCCACTTGATGAAATTTCATTTTGAACTGCTTTTGAGTGCAGAAATTTCTTTAACGTGTGCAAATATGTTGATTGATTTCATGTGTGTTAAAACTGCACTCTGCCGAAATATGAGGGACTTTTAATTTCAAACAATAAAAGGAATGTATGCGTCTGTTAATTTTTATTTAACATTCAGTCTGAATGATAATTTAGTGTTTAAAAAATTAATTTACCCAGTGCTCAGGTAGTGGGTCTGTAATATTATCAGTTATTTAATAAATTTAGTGTTGTCTTTATTACTTTACTTTAAGTAGATTGGGCCCAAAACAAAAGTATTTAAATCAGTTTTCATGAACATTTTAAAATTAAACATTTACTAAAATTTAAGGGGCTAATATAGGTTACAATGTTTAACTAAATAATGCTCTAAATTTTCATTTAAGTTTAAAGACTTCAAGTTATATTTTTGTCGATTCCAATTCAGCTGAATTCTCACCAAAATGTTATGAGCAATATTCGCTTCAACGCGCTTACACTCATTGAAATTTGTCTTACATTTTTATGTTTTATTTTAATTTTGCTTTATGCGAAACTTGCTACTCCCATTGAAATTCCGACAAATAAAGTCGAATCCTTTGCCCGCACATAAGTACGCCATATAATTTGCATAAGTGCTTGTCATGCATGCCGTGGCATCGACGCAAGGGACCCACTGCAGCCGAATGTTCAAATGGGTCATACAAAGTCCCATAAAAATGGGTTAGAATCGGGGTGGCGTAAATCAAGTTACCAAACTAAGTCGAACAGGCGAAAGCAGCGACAGAGATAACCGATGGGGGGTTAGCCGATTCAAGAGTTTGTCTCGAGGGGAAAACAAGTCGATTTGGACAACGTCCAAAACGCTGGCAATTATGTGGAAAAAAACAGTCAATAAAACATTGTAATCACAGACGCTGTTGTGGTCCATGTTCTTGTCAAATTTCATACAGAATTCGCTACACTTTAGCCAGCAATTAAATTCCGATTTAGCCAAATAAACAACAAATTAAGTGGAAGAGTATTTTAATTAGCCAAATCCCCGTTTAGGACCAGGCATCCGATGTTGGCGCACATTTGTTGTTAGTTCCAGTCACGTTCCATTGTTTACTCTTTGTATGTGTGTCAGGCCGTATTAATTAATGCATAGAAATGTGTATTTAAGCATATTTTAAAAATTAATTAATGTAATTTCTATTAAAAGTGCCTATTTTCGCCCCCTTAACTACCCTTTTTCTGTTATAAACCTTCCAACAAGCCGCACAATTTTAATTAGAAAAGTTTCAGCACGGCCGTGCACAGCAGCCTTGTATGCTTAACCGAAAAATATGTTATATATACTGATGGAAATATAGCTTTGGCAAACACAGACCCGATTAAAGCGGGACACTTTTTTACTTCCTTCTTTCCGTGACCCCAAGAAGCGGAATTACAGTTGAGGCGGTTGGATGTGTGCATTTAAATTTGCATTTGTATTTCGAATTTCCATTTTGGGTAAATTGAGTAAAGGTTTGGTTAATCTTCCGCTTGTAGAACTTTAATGGGTTAAATTCACATTTGCCGTCTAAATGTAGAATTGATTATTTATTAACCAGAAAAATGAAAAAACTGTTTATTTGATAATTCAGTAGGCTACTTAATTTTTTTGCTTTGTGGATTATATTAATTTTTATTTAATTTTTAAATTTAAAAATACAAATGTTAAGCTTTACAAAGTGGCTCGATTATACGCATACGCATTCAAGTAGTATTCGCGGTAATTTTTTGTTGCCTACACTCCGGGGCAAAATGGCGGAACTACCGTAAATGCATATGAATATTTAATTTCCATTTGAATAGTTAACTGAAATTGGAATGTAAATAGAATTGGAATAAATTACTGTCAAGTGTCATGTAGTCAAACGTTTTTTTTTATTGATTATTAGCCATACACCCTGGGGCAAAATTCTTTAGGAAATCTTATTTGTTGCCTACTTTTTATTGTGACAATAGGAATATTATTTGAATTTGTAATTTTTAATACCAATTTATGTTGAATAAATGTTTGCCAACTGGTCGACAGCTTTAAGGGCTTGTTTGTTCGATTATTAACCATTCGCCCTGTAGTACTGACCACACAATAAACGACGGCAACGGCAAAAAAAGCTGTGCAGCGAAAGTGCTGCCAGCACTTTTATCTCTCGCCCCCCGGCATTTCCCGCCCGTTAGCCACACCCACTTTTTCTACTTCTCCTGTTGCTGCTGATGGAATTATTGTGTGCTCAACGAACCGCAAACAAAATCTGTGCTCCGCTCCTGGTCGTTTTTGTTCCCATTTTTAATACACATAAAATGCTGTTTTTTTTTCGCCACTACTACTTGCAACTTGTGCTTGTGCTTGGCCCTCTTATCTCAACCACAATTTGCTGTAAAGTTATGCGATGGCTGCTATTCCAGGTTGATGCCCGATTTTGTTGCTTATGCCGCAGGTGCGTAATGGCCACAAGCGAGCGATTTCCGTTTATTAATCGTTGCTCATTTGTTTTTCGGAGCCAAGCCAAAGATGCTGCCCACCGCAGACCAATAAATCAAATGTCAGAGACAAAAATTAATTATCCCCGCAATGGCGTTAGTGTAATTTGTAACATAATCCAAGGTGCCTGTGAGTGGGCTTTTGCCTGCCTCCCCGCCCGCACAATTTGTCATAGTAACTTCGGAGCGAGTCCATTGGATGTGCAAAATACCGAGTTGCAAAATTTAATAAAACAAATTCCGTCCAAGCGACTTAGCATCTCTCCAACTGAATTCAAATCTCGACAGTAGCAAGCCCGAAAATTCCGTAACAGACAACATTCCGCAATCCACAACGGATCAGGGATAAGGGGCAGGGGCAGGACAAGCTATAGGGGCTTTAAGACCGCATTCCACCTGATCTCCTGAACCCCGAAACTAGCTCAAGAACCGGCTGAGTCGAAAAAGGGCCCGAAGCCATTGGCTGGCAAACAGAATGGTGCTCACATAGTTCGAGAAGCTATTTTTCCAGCAACTTGTTCTCCACCTGAACACTGCTGCTTTACTGCTGCATACTTTCAGTTAACAAATTCCGACTCTGGCTACCTGGGATATACATACATATAGTACTACTATATTTATCCCTGCCCGCCCACATGAGCTGTTGGTTCTGCCCGCTGCCTTTGTGGAATTCGCTCATGAATTTCATATCCTCCGCCTGCAGTGGCATCGCCCTGTGGCATGTATGTGCATGTGCTTACTGCATCCGGCAAAAGATTCCGCACGCCATTTAACTGTAGCCGCTGTCAAAAACATACAAGGATACTGCCAAAATCAAGTGCCAACTAATTAGGGTTTAGATCTAGAGTTATACAATGCATCCCACTTTAAGTTTTGGCTGCAAAACTTTTTCTAATCAAAGAATGTATCGTAAATTATTCAGAAGTATTTATTAAAGCTAGTTCAGAATTTCATGCAAACAAGAGGATCAATTTAACACACTGTTGAAAATACAGCTCGCAAGAACAAAGCTTTCAATATTTTAAATTTTTATTGAATTATTTAATTATTTCTTTCTCTTGCTTACTTTTAAGCACCTTTATGAATTATTTCAAAACCCTAGTGATTTCTTTGGTACCCTCTAACATTATAAATGTAAATTTTAAGGAGAAAACATTTGCATATAATGTTGAACACAGGCTTAGATGTTTTGATATAAAACTAACGCTCAAAAGTTCTGAGCAATGCCAAAAATGATCCTGCCGTTTTGGTGACCTGTCAGATATAATGTATTAAAAACAAATTTTACATTCAAAATAAGAAACTTACCCAAAGTAGCAGTGGTAGATCCACATCGAACATGTATGCATTAATCTTGATGGGTCGCTGAGCCCTCATGATCATCATCTGCCACAGTCTTCGTTTTTTGGGTGGCAATTCTGGCCAATTGCAATTACTATAGACCGCCTGGGCAATACCTAAACTTTGCTGCTTGAGATGCTCGCCACCATAACAGTAGGAACTGAGTTGAATGATAATAGCAACTAGAAATGCGGCTCTAAATGGCACTTGGGCACTCCAACCACTCTCGCTAAAACGAAAGGCCAACATGCAGAGTTGCAAGTAACTTAGCATGTATTTCACGAAAACGATCTCGGCAAAAATCGAACTTAATTCCTCTCCTAGTTCAAGAGCCAAACGATGGCGATGGATGCATTCACTAAGGTGCAAGTCATCTTGATTATGATCCCGCTTTTCAAGGTGCAACTCGAGGAGCTGAAACTGAACCACCACGTTGTGAACCAGCCACGAGAATAGAGTGTCTGCGGCAATGGCCAACCAGGCGGCAGCTGCCACACCCAAAACGCCCCAAACGTAGATGGGCCAATAAAATTGGGGTTTCCGTTCATCGAGCCAGAAATTGAATTCCATGGGTGTTGTCGGCGTGAATTGTCCCGTTCTTATATATCCCAAGAGTCCAATCAACATGGGGGCTATGGCTGAGGCCCAAATCACTCCGTAGGCAGCATTTCTAAAGGATCTTGAGACATACCCATCCAGTTGGTTTTCCCTCTCAATCTTTTCCCTTTGATTGGGAGTGGCATTGGCCTGCTGATTTAGCCTGTGTAATCGGTGAATTAAAGAGCCGATGCGCCTTCGTTTCGCCACAATGGCCAGAAACTTGAAGGTACTCTGCGATCCCTGCATAAACACGGCAAGGTTGTCCGTGAGGCGGGTTAAATCCGATAGATCCTGCAGCGCGTACACCACCATGGGCCAATTGTGTGAAACCAGGGATAAGACGAGTATCCCTGCCCAAATGGGATGTTTCAGTCTGAGATGTGGCGAACTTGGATCAAATCCGACGATTTCCAGAGCTCTCTTCTGAACGGCAAAGTAGCTGGAGTCCATGTTGTGTTTTCAACCAGCTTCGATTTCCGCTTCAACTTATATACTTGAGCAACTGGGAAAAAAAAAAATTAAAGAACGCGGGTCACGCTAAGTGGATGCCGTTGCCGCCCCCCGAAATTGTGCCTGAAATATTTATTTCTTCCGTTAACAGGCTACGTGATACGGTTACCACTAACGCAAGCTATGTATGTTGTTTTGATTGGAAATTTCCCCATTTCCATTTAGGGGGCGTAAATATCGTATTAACAAATAAATACCCAAAACAAGAAATGCCCTCAGGCTGAAAGTGAAAGGGTGGAGTTTGACATAGTGGTTAGCTCTCTTTGTTTACTAGTTATTTTGTCATTTAGTTATTTCATTTTAATTTTACATTCAAACGCCTGACTGGACATTCACAAAAGCATGTCTTTATCTGACCGTCAGGCTTATGAATATGGAAAAGCTGTGACGGATTTTTGTTGACATCTACCCCAAAAGAATAGGGCTTAAAACCAAAGTTAATATTCCACCAAGGCAAGCCCCACAAAAATCTATTAAATTGCTATTTAATTTGTGTATTTAGTCCCAAAAAGTTGGCAAAAAAAAAAAACTTCCAGTAAATACACCCAAGTGAAATTAATTTTTGGTTCGAAAGCCTTTGTTTGCCCTTTGGGAGCAAAATGTCGAAACCCATTTCGTGCGCATTTTATACCGCGGGTAATTCAATTACGGTGGAACTCAACAAGTAAATCTGCTTTCCAATTTTATCGCTGCGTCTAGCCGAAATCGAGTGAAATAGCCTTTTGCCATCATTTATTTTTTTTTAATTTACTTTTCGGTCTTTTATTTTTGGGCTCAGCTTAATGTCACCTTAAGTGCTCTCAATTAATCTTAAGTGGGTGGGGCGAATATAGACCTTTTCCTGGAATTTTAATAACCGTCATTTGCATTTTCCCCACCCGAAGGAAGGATATTAGGATCGGACAGCTCTACACTTGTGCAAAATTGTGGCTTCAAAAGTTATGCAACATTATTTGGCTAAAGCTAGCCGCTGGCAGATTTATAAAAAATGGTATAAAGAGGGATGATTTATGTATATGCACTAAGACTGCACTTGCAGATTTTTATTTAAATTTCATCAAGCTGAGGAAGTCGTCATTGCAGTCGCACAGTTTCATATTTTCGCACGTTTCCATTTGAAATTGATATTTTATGCAAAATATTTACCAAAAAGCCACACAAGCAATAAAGCCAGTGGCAGCATGGGGGTGAAAGAGAGGGGAGGTTGTTAGAAGAAGAGAGGGGGAGAATAAGAGGGAAGAGAGAAGAGCACACCTGCTGCTCGATAATTTTGACAGCGGTCGGGCTTTTGGTTTCGCCCGCAAATTTGCTTACCATCCATCTCGTTCTGCCAATATATCTCCCTCTCTTTTACCCACTAAATACCCCCTGCCTCTCGCTCCGCTGAGGTTTGTAAGTCTTTTTGCGGCTTTGTTTATTTCATTGCCGTCGTGTGTATGAGTGTGAGTGCAGCTGTGTCTCTCTAACTGTGTGTGTGTGTGTGTGTGTGCGGCTCCTTTGTGTGACACCCATTTTGGAGGTTTTTTATGTGCTTGTGGCGAACCGTAAAAAAAACGTCTTCCAAATGGAGTGGCATACCAGGCTTAACCAGCTTGCCGTCCTCCTCCTTCCTTTCCCATTTCACCCGCCCGTGTCCTCTTTTGTTCAGTTTAAGGAACTAGCAAAATGTTTCCCATCATGTTGCTCATTTGTTGCCCCATCAGCGGGAGTTCAGAGGTATAGATTATATAGAGTATATGGAGTCAGGGGATTACCAGAGACATTACAGGGAAAAAACTCTAAGGAAATTCCGAAATCCTAGGAAGACACGTCTAGATCCTTTGTGTTGTTTAGCTTGTTATTACATTTATTTTTATCTAACCCAAAATGTATGTTCGGCTGATTAACATTTCTATTTCAACGAGCTGATTTATAAAAATTGTTTTCTATAAAAGTTTTTTTAACAATGCCTTATACTTTTTAATGCAATACATTTTTTACTTTAAATGTGTGCTTAAAATTGCTCAAGTTTATTTTTTATATAGTTAAAGTATATCCAAGGGTATCGTTGAATCGGCTGCGCTTTATCGCTATCCTTTCTAGTGAGATGCGTTCTAAGTACTAGCAATTTTTCAGGCACTTTACACGGCTCCTCTTGTCCGGCTAAAAATAGAGGAAACAACTAAGGTAGAATAAGAGGGTAGGATGCAGATAGATCGAGATGGTTGGAGGGACATCGAGTGTGTGGGAGTGTGTATGTTCCACATGAGCAGCGAAGGAATTGAATAAAGTTAGCATGTCGCCGCAGGGAATGAGCCATCCTTAAGCCCAACCCTTATACTGCGTGCAAGTATGCTGGGTGGAAAAAAAGCATCATTCAATAAAAAATTAATAGGAAAACATTCAATGAACGTGGCACAAAGGCGCCATTGGAACCACCAGTAGACAGATATCCCAATCGCTTCGTGCTCGACTGCAACGCTGATGAACAAGCCATAGCCTGTATGCGCTTTGTGTGTGTGTGTGTGTGTGTGTGTGTGTGTATGTTCGGAAATCACGGGTAATGTGGTTTTACGAGCGCCGCGAGACAGGTGAAGCCTTACGAAACCCCTTCAAAAGCCCTTCACCCCTTGCCAACTGATAAATGCAGCCCCAACTTGGTCGTGAGCATGACAGCATACAGGGCATACAAAGCATGCTAATAAAAACATATACTACGTCATCTGCATGTTGTTCATGGGGAAGTGTGTGTTATGTAAGCGGATGTGCAACACTTTTTTTGTTGTATAGCCCGGCAGCCAGCCAACCGTTGATTATACTAAACTTGTTTACTTATGTCGCACTGCATGTGTGTGTGTGTGTGTGTGTGTATGTTCTCGGAAAAGTGCAAATTTCAGCATAACCAAGCACACTCAACGCTCGGCTCGCTGTGCCTGTGTAAATTTCGGCTTAGCCACGCGGGCGCTAAGCAGCAGCAAGCGCAAAGCAAGCTATGGTCCAAAGACGGGGAAGGAAGGGGTTAGGAAGGGGGGAAACAGATGGGCAAAGGGGTAAAGAAGGTGGTAACGCAGGGTGTAGGAAGGACTAAGGAAGGACCGAAAAAGGGCTAAAGCAGGGGGCAAAGAGTAGGTGCTATTACCAAGTGGAAAGTGTGGCTCAGTGTGATGAATGACGCCAAAAAATTTGATGGTTCACGATTAACATAATGATTTGCATACGTTTAGCCTGTCTTTGATGCACAAAGATATTGCAAAGTGTGCCAAAAAAATTACTAACGAGGAAAAGTATAATCTTGATTGATGCGGAAGACGGATGAAGGGAAAAGTCAAAGTTGCAATCCAAGCTGATGCATCCAATTTTAACGTTTTGCTCAAATGGGAAAAGGGGTTTTTAAAGTTGCACCTACATTTAGATTTTCATTTTCATTTTCGCAATGAAATAGGTGAAATTGCCTGTACCATTTACAGTATTTAGACTAATTGGCAGCAGAGAAATAAAAGTGGTTAAGAAGTCCTTACATTTTTTGCTTAGAAAGGGTCATATGGAGTATATTTTGGCATTCAAACTAGAAGTTAAGCTTAGTGATTTGTTGGCATGCAGCAAGAAATGTTTTTTTTTTCTCTCCAGGATGTGAATACCTGAAATTTGTACAAAATTTGTGTGGCTATGCATGCTGCTTTTTCGAAGTGGTTTCGCATGTAAAATTTTGTACATGAGCACCACCACACATCCCATATCAGTGCATACATGAACAGCAATGCACTATTTTTGGCAGAGTTGAAATTAATTTGAAGCGTTGGAAGCATAAACAGGGGCGAACACAAAGCTATTACCTGTGCAGGGGGAATTGAGCGGATTTTGTTGGAAACGGTATAAATAAATAAACGAACTACGGAAAATCGAACATGCTGCGCGCGTTATTCAACTGCAAGGGCAACATCAAAAGTTCGAAAAGTAGAACTCTAAAAAAAAGTTGCAATCGAATTGACGAAAACTTTGTAGACGATAATGCAGTCTCACTGGAAGTGATTGCTATTTTCTTAATGCTTTAGCTGCAGCGGGACAAATCTTCAACGCTATCTCATTAATTATAGACAAATATATGGTAATTGACTATGGCAAGATACACACAGCCCGAAACTGAGATATATATATAAACGCACATGCACACGCGCACAATAGAGTCTGAATCTGAGCTTGAACTGAACGTTAACCGGCGCACAATGAGCTAATTTTAAGCTAATATTTATGCAGCAATTAGAACGCTTCAGTTGAGTTGGGTTCGAGCTTCGGTGACGCCATCTCTGCATCTCTGCATTGCCTCCAGTGGAGCCACCCACCCAAGACCCGCTCAAACTCCGCCACAACATTTGCTAAGCAAACAAAGTACGGAGAACAAAGTCCCACCGCAGAAACATGAATGATAAATGACGGCAAACTGCAGAAAACACTCCAGCTAAAACTATCCCGGATCATGAATAATATTTGATCTATTTGCATAGCAGAAGTAGCAAGTAAAGAGCTCAACTCAAATGTTTGAACCTTATCTTGGAGTAGTAGTGGGGGAATTTAGGAATAGTCAAGGTATAAAAAAGATTGGCTGAAAAGTTCTGAAAACCTCATTATAGTTGTATTTTTTTTTTAATCTAAGCCACCAGCATTATGAGAAAGAAAACCGAATAACTGCGCTCATCCCTCCACTTTATGGCACTATGGATATATTGAAAAGTTGAACACTAAGCCCCTGAAACTCATCTATGGCATGGGATCAGCAACATCAGCTTAGTCACAACTTGAGGCCAATAAGGCGCCCTCATCCGGCCATGTGAAGTGTCAGATGTCTCTGACTTTTGCCTTTGACTTGGCCAGCACTTTTACATGTATGAGGCAACACTCGCACTCACACACTCACACACTCTTCTGCTCACATTCATATGGCCACTCATCTGCCTAATTGAATTCCTTAACGCTTTCCCCCCTGTTGTTCGGAGCAAATCTCGGGGAATGTTTCCTTTTCCGTTTTGAGTGCCAGAGGCATGCCATCTCGACATCGACATCGACATCGACAAGGGCCGTGGCACCCTGCTGTTGGCCACTTTGCACGCCTGTCAGCCAAGTTAGCACCCTTACCCTTGCAGCCCCACTTGCCACTCCTCCAATCCTACGATTCTTCGGTCCTGTCAAACTATGCGCCTAAGTATGTCGATGGCCATGTCGTTGCCCGCATGCCTGAATGCCAATTCTACATGTCGTTTTTAATAACTGTGTCAATCGTGTGCTCCACCACCACCCACCTCTCTAGAGAGATCTCCCGCCGCCCACACTTATCCAGCCATGGAAAAGCAAGCAGCTTAGGACCGCTCAAAGAGGTCACTCATCGGTGGCCATTTGGACATCAAAGCGAATGTTCGAGGGCGGAGGGATCGCAATTAATGGTACTAGATTGGCCATATATCGATGTGCACTCGACATTTACATTTACCTTTACATTTGGATTAATTAATTGCAATGTCCGCAATTGTCAATAACCAGACTAATTGGCCTAATCGACTTGCGGCCATGGTGTCCGTTCTGACCCGTCAACCCACTGGCCTGCTCATTAATAATAAATGTTTTGTGTATAATAATTGGCCATATGCTGTGGGATGGCAGCAGCAAATTAGAGACCAAAGCTACTGTCCAGTGTGCCAAATTACACTGGCGCAAATTAAATGGGGTAGTGATTTCGATTTTATTCAGAAAACGCATTCAAAAATTACATTTTATCCCAAACTACTTTGATGTTGTTTTTATCACCTATTAATATTGAAAAGGTTTGTTTACAAAATATATATTTATTTAAAGCTTTGTATTAACATTTTTGCAATTCAAATGCCGGCTTTTATTTTCGATTGCAAATTGTATTGTTGTTA